CGCCGCCTGCCTGCTGTGGCGCGAGCTGGCTGTGGGCCCCTGCTCCCCAACACCCAGGCGCCTGCGCGCTTTCTCCGGACGCGGGCTCCTCGGGGTCTCACTCCCTCGCCCTGAGGGCTGGCCAGTGGCCACGCTGCCCAGGGCTTCGCTGCCCACTCATTGAGGGGATGCTGGCGGTGTCTTCTGGTTTCTGGCCTGGCCTCCTCGAAGGGTGTGTGTGGCCCACACCTGTCGCGGCCACACTGTGAACGTGGACAGAGGCACACATTTGTGGCCAGCAGTCCCCGCGGTGCAGCAGTAAAGGCCGGTGCGGCTGGAGACCCTCTGGGGCCGCCTCCTGCCTTGTACCCATCCTCCGGTCCGCGCGCGGGGCGGGCTCACTGCTCGGTGGCGCAGGCCGTGAGCGTCCAAGAGCCCAAAGCCGCGGCCGCCTCTTGCGCTGGCTGAGCCTGCGTGGTCCGGCCGCCCGCCGCAGCTCATGGCCCAGGCGGCGCTTCCTGGGGAGAGCGCTCCAATACCCCTTCAGGGTCCGTCGTGTGAATACTGAGACTTCACTGCCGAGTAACTTCGCAAACGGGAAGCGCTTCAAGCCACTTTTGGGAGGGGGCGGGAGTTGTGCTCACAGGAAACTCTGGCGTGGCTGCAGGGCTTGTCCCTGTGTGGCTTAGTTCTGCCGGAGTCAGGCTGTGGTGGCGCCCTCGGTCACGCTCGGCACCTGCTTCTGTTGCTAGCTTTGCGGTCATTGGGTGAGGTTCATCAGCCATTACCCAAGAAAACGAGACTGTCTCGTGTGTTTCTGTTCGAGGCGTCTCCCCCTCTGTGTCTTCAGTGTGGAGGCCTTCACCTCCGGCATTCCAGAGTACTGGGCTGTTTGTTAGTTTGGGGTGCTGGTCTGTAGCGAGGGCAACTGGCAGACGGGCCGGACGCGCCTGCCGGCTGCATCTCGGCGGAGGGCCGTCTCCTGGCAGGCAGCACGGGCTTTGTGCTCGACCTGGTCTCGGCGTTAGTGCAGGTTATTCTCCTCACCGTATCAGCAGACTCTGGCTGACTGCTGATCTTTCCTGCCTCTGCACTGCCCGCTGTAGGCCATGGCCCAAAAGGAAGACATGGAAGAGCGTATCACCACTCTGGAGAAGCGCTACCTCGCGGCCCAGCGGGAGGCCACCTCTGTGCACGACCTCAACGACAAGCTGGAAAACGAGATCGCGAATAAAGACTCCATGCACCGGCAGGTAGGGCGCAGGTCTTCGGCCCCGCATGCCTTTTCCTGCAACTTGTAGCTTGGAAGTCAAGGCCCAGCTCACTGTTTATGAACTTAGAAAGAAAACGCGAATGCTGCCAGCCGTGCACAGGCTCTCGGCGTTTGCCGTGTGGCGCAGTCGCCGCCGGCCCCGGGCTCCCTGGCTCGCCCCTTCGCTGTAACTGACATTCTCTTCCTGCCCAGGGCCGCGGGGCCAGGCGGCGGGTGCTGCCAGCCAGGCCCAAGGTTGTCCAGAAGAACCTTGCCTGGCTTCTTGAAGAGAAAACACGTTTCTCTGGAATGTCGGAAAGGGGTCGCCGAGCGCAGCCTAGAGATGAAGTGCTCCGGGCGCCCGGGGCATCTCAGGGCCGTCCACCCCGGTCCACACGGAGCGGCCCTCGGGCGGGAGGAGGGCGGGCGCAGCGCCCTCGAGTTCACAGTGGCTCTTAGGTTTTTTTTTTAAATTCCTTTTATAAATTTCTGCGCTGAGATTTTTTTTGACAAGGTCGTTTATGAGAATAGCCGTTCGTTCACATAGCGGTTGGGAGCGCTCGCTGGGCACACTGGGGGTCCGTGCCGGGCGGGGGAGGCCGCTGCGGAGCCCCTCCCTAGGCGACGAGCGCGAGCAGGCGTCCGCAGGAGCCGTGTTTCTTCTTGGAGACGCCTGGGCGGCGCGCGGCCGAGGGGGTGCAGGCCGCCTGCCG